TTGCCTCCAATTATTGTATTACATGATCTCCTTTGCTCTCATATCCTCCAATAACTTTCCTTATTTTCCCGCGTTATAATACGCACGTATACTTTGCCTATCATCATTATTCATTCATTCTACTTCTTCTTCCTTTGAGGTCTTGTGTTTAATATTGTGTCTTTACTATCGTTTAATTACCCAAGCTTGAGGCTCTAATAAACGCGCAAACTATTCCTACTGTCCACACATTTCAACCAAGGCAATCTATTTTCGCTACAAAAATGGTTGTCATGTGATTGGAATTCAGAATACATAAACGTAGGTAAAGTAACTTTAAAATTTCAGTGTATACGTAGGTAACATGATTTTGTCAAGAATTTCAGTATCGCTTTATGAAGGCTTACAGAAAAGTTGAATTTGGTTGGAAGATGAAAATTGGGAACTTTTAGCACTTCAATTCATGATTTGAACTACAAATCGATCAACATAACATTGTTACTAACAAGGAATGCAATAAATGATCAAATAAGTTATAGTATTTTGTGTATATATGCAAATATAGCAAAAAATTCCAGAAATCCATACCGGGAAAATAAGGATAAAGCCAACTAACTATTAGTGCAATTTGTGTTTTTATTGCATTAGCTATTGTGGTAATAACTATAGTTAGCATCCATATCTGCGAATTGCTTTTTATTTAATTTTATTAATTGAAATATGATCTTTGAGGTTAGTAACAAATTTTTAAGTCTTTTTTCTTTCAGTGTACATCTGATTTATTTACTTATTGCTTTTTTAGCTTTTATTATCGTGTAAAGAAACAAATTATTTAATATAGGTGGATAATTCCAAAAAAAAGGAAGTTGCTAAATTCTGGTAGTTCAGAATTTCAAATTTTTGCAAGACAAACATTAATACTGCGGCAGCAGAAATATTGTTCATTAAAATTAAGATTTTCTTCTAGTTTTGTTGAAAAGTTGAATTTCAATAAAAAGTTTTGAAATGGATAAATTTCCAGTTCATTACTGAATTAGTGTAGCATTTTATAATTTGAAGATTACTCTTTTTAACGTTAATAGTTGTAGAAATTCAAGATTTTCAATCATATTTGTTCAATGAAAGTCATAGTTTTGAAAGAAGTGATTTAATTAATTTCTCATTTTATATAAGAAATAAAAATTTTGAATTTTTATTGTTAAACAAGAAAAAATTAAAATTATCAAAAAAATTCTCGTCCAAATGTTTGGTTCTATTTTTCTGTTCCAAAATACTTTCATGCAATTCAATTTCATTATTTTGTAATAAAATTTTTGCGCCGTTTTCTTTATTATTGCTTTCAGGTGATCGCTTCCTAACAATTTCATTTTGGCAAATTATATTTACATTGCTCAGTTTAATATCTACTTTTTTTTGGTACTTATCATTTGCTTATATGCAAATCAATGTAATTATGTGTTAGAATCATTAATTTATATTTTGAATGAAATTAAAATTCACCTGACACTTTAATTTAGAAAAAAAAGATCAGTTCTTATTGAATTGGGCGACTATTATCATCTAAATATTTCAATTTGTTGTCAGAACAAGATAGGATAGTTGAAGTAACAAATTATTGAAATCTGAACATAAATGCAAAACATTATTTTGCTATCAAAGCGTATATTTGCAAAATCGTCAATTATCAAATGTTAACCGTCAAATATTTTTCATAACTAATTCTGCTATTTCTTGGATATTCATAATTTCGGATCATTTGATTATACATATCATAACTTTGAAATTAACAAGTTCTTAGTAGATATTATGAAAATACAATAGAACGAATAGATTAGATATGATTACATCCTATAATGCTTTTCGCTATTTCAATCATCAAAATGATCAAATCATGAAAGTATACGGATCCGATGTCACATTAATTGGAAGAATTTTTCGATATATTCTTTTTCGGAATATGATATAGTAAATAAAATACTTGTTAATTCTTCTAAAAAAAAAACGAAACGATAAAATACATATAATCAAATGGTTATCTTACATTGTATACAACAATCAAATGTTATTTTGTATATCAAATTCTGCAGAACAATTAAAAGTATTGCTCATTTTTGAGTACCGAAAAATAGACGATGATCAAAACTGTCGTAAGCTTGTTCGTTGTAGCATTGTATCATCTAAATCTGTTCGTGACCATTGTTGTGGTGCATACAATACTGAAATTATCTTATTTATCATATTTATCACATAGTATAATATGAAGTTGACATAATATCGTTTATTGTATTATGTTGCATGATAGTATATTGTCTGATATTTCTGCTGTACAATATTGTTGCAACCTTTGTACCAATTAAAGTACGGTAATTATGTTAGGTCAGGATACAGTAATTGCTAGATACAGTAATTAGTCAATCCAACAATTGATTGTACTACAATTGTACAGACTAGAATGTAGTGCAGTACGTTGGTTGGAATACAGTAATCGTTCATTGTAGAAGGATGTAAGAAAAATGTATGATCGGTTGAATGCACGTGTTTATAAAAAGTTAAATGCACGTACCAGGCGAACGACGGTATTGATCCGGTTGAGATGGTTGAGCGCCGGTTTTTGGAATGAACATTTGCACGTAATTTTCAGGAGCAGTAGTTGCAGCATATAATAAAGGTGAAAGAGGAGGAAATGGAGTTGCCACCGTGAAATCAGACGGAAATACTAATGCTCCGGCTGGTGCCAGCGTAGCGAGGCTTACGTTATGATAGCCAAGTCTTGCCATGAATTCTTCAAATGTTGATAACGGCTTTGATGTAATTTGGCTACGAGAGGCCTGATTACCTGCAATAATTTAATCAAATGTAGTAAGTACATTACAATCTTTCTCTTTACTAAGTTATCTTTGTCAGGAAAATATTTGATTAACTTCGGAATTAGCAAGTAATAAAATGTGAACAATCTTTTATTCAGAAATGAAAAATATACAAGAAAAAAATATACAAGTTAATAATATTAACCGGAAAAAAGAACTGGTCTGCCGGAAAGTACCGTTGAGGTTTCTGTTGAAATTGCATTGGAAGCAGGTGTAGTAGAAGCATAAGTTATTGGAGAGATTGACAATTGCGTAAATCTTCCATTCACGTTAACATTTCTTTTAGTATCAGTAGTGGGAAAATATGTTGGTGAATTAAATGAAGTAACATGGCCGGAATTAGCTGGATTGAAATAACCGGAAAGGGGATGAAGTGGTGGTTGCGAGGGTGGTGGAGCTATGGTAGGATAAGTATGACCTATAAATGGTTGAAATGTTTGTGGTGCTACAGTTGGAAAGCCAAGTGTGGGTAAGGTGGGAAAGGTTAGTGGAAAGAGCGGTGGAGCAAATGTTGGAATCCCGAAAACTGGATCTAAGCCCTGGTTGCATCTCCGTAAGAAGCATGATGTTTGTTGACATTGTGTTGCACATGGTTGGTGATTATAATTTTGTTCCGGTTGAACATTTTGGCCTGGTATTTGCTTTTGAACGGATTCAAAGCCAAATTCCGGTTCTCGTAATGGTAGCTGGGGTGGTGGTTGTTCATTGAATACAGTTACTTGTTGTTGACCAAATGCTTTTGGTTCTCCCTGAATTATTGGGTTATTAGCATTAGCAAAACTGATGCCATTCTCACTCGAGAAGCTGCTACCAGTACCACCTGAACCAATTTCTGATCTTTGGCTACTTAGTGGAATAGGCAATGATTGAGCAACAACATCGGGTTTCAGTGCTATTTCCGCTTTAACATCTGCTTCTCCTCTCTTTAGCATTACTTCACTTCTATTCGGCACATCTGTTTTCATACTTCCTTTCTCATCGGATTCGATTTTCCTGAACGATAAAATCATAAAATTTTTCTTTTTCAATTCAGCTATTGCATTTTTAATTTATTCACAGCATAATTGATTGATTATTTCAATTTTCATTAACTTTCTTTCTTACTCCAGTTGTACTGAATACAATAAGGATGATAGAAAAAGTTGGAAATTTGATTGATAAACGAACTTAAATTCTGTTAAAACTAACTGAAATTTAAAAAAGAACACTCATTTTTACCTGTACTGTTTTTTTCCGTCAGTTTTATGAGCGGTAAGATCTGTGAATGCTTTTCTGCCTTGTAATTCTTCCACTTTCTCTTTTTTTAACGTTTTTTCTTTTCGGAAGGTTGAAAGATCGATTCCTCTTGTCAACACTTTCACTATTTCATCACTGGCATCCTTTTCGACTATAATCAAAAAAAAAAAATTAGAAAAGAAAAAGAAAAATTTTTAAGTGAAATTCTATTACAAAGAAAAAAAAATAAAAATTCTTTGCAATTTGTTCATTTTTTACTTTTGTCACTTTCTTTTTTGATTTTTTTCTTTCTCTTTTTTAAAAAAAAGACTGAGCAATAAATATTTGAATTAATTGTGCAACAACAAATTTTTATCTGAGCTAGGAATAAAAATTTCAAAACATGGTTAAATTATAAAACAGGATTTTAAATTTTAACAAAACTTAGCTAAAAATATGGAAAGGAATGAGGAAATGTTACAAACAAACAATTATTATCCATTTTATGTATCTTAAATGAATCCGATTATCATCAAAATATCATCATTAATAAATATTTTTGGATTAAAATAAGAGAGAAAAGTTAATTTCTCCTGAAATTTCTCTTTCCTTTATTATAGGTATTATTTCTTATTTAAAAATAATATGTCAAATTGGAAATTTTCCGATAAAATGTCCCTATTCTTTCATGTCTTTTGTTAGAATGATATTCATTGTGAAAATAGAATATGTGTATGTATGTCTGTGTATGTGTGTGTGCATGTGTGTATGCGTGTGTATGTGTGTATGTGTGTATGCGTGTGTATGTTTATGTATGTGTGTTTGTATGTGGATAACGATTTTAAAAGTTTTGATTTTTCATGCCAACAAAAAATTCTTTCATGTCGAGATGTGTTGAAATAAGAGGAAATTTTGGCATTGTAAAATTAAGAAAAATTCGACTAACAATTGACAACCGGTTCCGGTGGATCCGGCAAACAATGCATTCGCCGTACAGTAACTTCGTATGAAACACTGCAAGAATTTATTATTTTCACATATAGTTAGTGCAAAAATTCAATCGATGTTTTATCATAATTTGTTATTATTCGAAATTAATCTTTTAGAGGGAGATAAGTAATCAGTTGAATTGACAAACTGTTGAAATTGTTCGTATGATATATTTAAAATTCAATTTTATGCAAAAATAGCATACATACATGTTTTATTTTTGTCAGAAAGCAATTAGTTTAAAGAAAAGAAAATGATTCATTGCAAATAATTTTAAAAATTGAAATGATTTATTTACAACTTAACGTTGCGTTTCAAGACGTACGTACCCATAATGTTTAGACATATATGTTATTTGCAATAGCTTTCTCTATGTTTTCATGTTCTTGCTTATTATGGATTGATTAGAAATAAGAACTAACATATGTGTATTAGCATCTACCACTTTTCGGACATTGGCTATTACATCGAAACTTATTTGTCGCCCATCCCTAATTACTTCACCACCGGTGATCGCTTCACCGGGGCCAACATTTGTTAGGCCAACTTCTTGCGAAAATCGTAATCCGGGAAATGTGCAACATTGCAAAATTAGTCTGAAAGATAAAACGAAAATTTAGGTGACACTATTTTCTATACAATAAACAAAGGATCACACAACGAAACTTCAAACATTTTAACCATTGCTTCAATTCATTATCTCTATCAGTGAATCAACCTGATTATACAATTTCGTATATTTGAATTATCAGAAAATAGTTCCTCTGATTAATTTGATAGGAAGTTAAAGAAATTTCTCTTTTTTCTTTCAGGTTAAATTCTCACGGTTGTCGTGGATGATCAATGTATTCGATGCCTCCAACCCATTGATCTTTTCGTGAACATGATAGATCAGAAAATTGACCGGAACAATTCTACAATATATTTTTTGTCTAAAATATTATTTAAATTCGAAAAAAATTCCAAAGATTCTAAAAAATATTTTTTTTTTTAAATTTCTTTTTTCACTGACATCAGTAATTCTACTCTTACAGCGATTAAGATTGAAAAAAGAAATAAAATTCAATTTCATTGAATGTAAAGTTTTAGAAAAAATTTTGAAATAATTTTGAAAATAATTGTTTGCATAATTTCGTTGTTACTAATATAAAAAAATTGAAA